GAGTTCACAAAAATGCAGGAAGTTTTGAATGAACAGATGTGCGACTATATTTTATACATACTTTCATCTTATACATGCGATCTAAATCCATATACATACGACCTTAATAAACCTCATTTCGAGATGATGCGATATGCGCTCAACATGGCCATTTTTTTTAATATTATCTTGGTAGATGCGCTTAAAGTAAGGAGTGTATCCGCAAAAAAAACATTCTTATACAGGTTCATGGTAAAACAAACGATGCTTACTAGTAGTGCATTTTGGTATTAGTTAATGAAGGAGAAGAATTCAAAACAGAAGGAAAAAATGTTTTCATACTTTTCATTTAATTAATTATATGACCATATAATTTTGAGGCGGATGCCTATCTAACATACCATGTCTGAAATTATAAATATAACATGCATTGTTTACATGTATTGATATCGGTTTTCCAAATTGATAATTCCCTTGATTATTTTTTAATTCAATATAAAAAAAGATGATGTGGTATGATTGCCAATAAGACAACTCTTCACAAGAGACCAAACGACACAGAAATTAACAACTATAGGTCACCGTACGGCCACCAATAACGAGCAAAGCCCATACCGCATAGTCAGCTATAAAAGGCCCCGAAATGACAAATGTAAAATAATTCAAACTAGAAAACTAACGGCCTAATTGATGTACAAAAAATGAACGAAAAAAATATGTAATACAGCAACAAACGACAACCACTAAATTACAGGCTCCTGACTTGGGACGGGCACATACATACAGAATGTGGCGGGGTTAAACATGTTAGCGGGATCCCAACTCTCCCCCCTTACCTGAGATAGTGGTGTAACAGTACAACATAAGAAGGAAATCAGTTGAAAAAGGCTTAACTCATCAGATGGATGAATAGAAATACATCTAGCAAAAACACAGAGTGGACGTGGCCGGGTACTTGTACATCCCAACAACAAAACGACACTAAGTACAGATCTGAGAGTACTGGCAGTTACCGACAGCTAGTTCAAAGCCAATAAAAACTAATAAAAAAATTATGCATCTAAGACTAAATTATCAATCAGTAAGCATTCAAAATCCAATGCATTTAGTGCAAAGACGTCACTAACAGTCAGAGAAAAACATGACCTTTGTGCAATGCCAAGATATCAAGTTTGTGTTTTTTTTAACAAATGATTAATGGTAATGAGAACCGTATTATAAGTAACATAGTGTGCTAGTGACCTAATACGATATATACAAGGTCAGTAAATTATATATTAGTGAGATTAAGTCCCATTTGGAATTTAATGACCTAGTATATATCTTATTAGGTCACTTATACACTGCAAAAAGAATTAAGTTTACCGACTATCCTAATTTTGCGTATTTAGTTTTAGCTGTCAACATAAGAAACACACTTTGATACAACATTTAACAGAACTTTCAATCATTGAGTGACACAATCAGTATCTCAAAGACATGTGTTTGTCTAAAAGAACAAACAAATTATAATTATTAAAACATATATCATCATTTGAGAACAACACTGTTTTATCTTTCCACAAGGAACATAACTCTTCTGCTCGTCGTGTATTTATAATAAACCAGGTCCACTAACTATGTTTGGAATTTTAAAAAAACACACACCCACTGACCTATGAATATCTATGCTTGGTTCCCGCGTGTTCGCATTGAACCAATGTTTTCCCTGGAAGTTTATAGGAGATAAGATAAAACATTGTACGGTCCATTTAGGTTTCTTCTCAATAGTTTACTTCCCTCTATTACCTAATATAACATTCATAACATCTGGTTTAAATGTTGTTCACTATAACAAACTGGCAAAGTACCAGTTGATTTTTTTTAATTTGAATGCTCCATTCTGAATTATATTTCTATAGTCGTCAATTTTTGGCGGGTTCTTCTGTTTATCCCCCATCCAGCCCTAAAATTATAATCTAAATTAACCGATATCCATTACAACCCCATCCACGTTGAATTAAAATACTGAATCACATTTGGGATCAAAAATACTATCAATACGTTGAAGCTGTTTGGTACGATCTTAAGGCTAATTGTCAGAAAACTTTTTTTCTGACACTTCCACTAACCCCTCTCCAATATTTGGTAGGTTTTGTTACTCAGGCTTTAGTTTTCTATATAGTGTTTTGAAAACTGTTGTTTGTTTTTGTCATTTATGCTTATTTGCCAAGGCATTATTTGTTTTCGACTTTAAGATTGAATATCCTTTTTTGTATCTTCCATCTCTCTTTTTAACGTACTACTATTGATACACAAAAAAAAATTAAGATACTTTTTGTCATATTATATACTTTTCAATTTTCAAACGTGTGATTGCGAAAAGGTGAAAGATACAAAAAAGAGGATAAACAAACACGGACTATAGACTGAATAGAGATACTGTGGATTCAGTAATTGTCGTGTGTACCAATTTTCTTGAATTGATGAAGACTTGAATTTTCCTGGATATTTAATGTTGTTGTTTTGGCAAAGTTCCCTTGTATCATCGAAATCCACGAAAATTGGTATCAAACGAATATTAATGAATCCACAGTAAAATGAGACACAAGAAAAGCTACGAAATGCAAAACCCTACGTATTAAAAAAAGATTAAGAAACAAGAAACATAAAAAATCCCTTGATTAAAGACATACAATCCGCACAAAACGCCAGTTCCTTGTTTTTTAGTATTGAAAAACAATAAAATGGAAAGTTGTATCGGTGACGTCATACATTAAATGGAAGACTGAGTGATAGCTGTTCATTATGTATCCGTTTTCAGCTAATCAACCTTACCACAATGATATCATACTCAATACGACACAACAATTCCATTGTCATTTCAACTTAATAATAAGCTATATTTAGATTATAGATTAAACGAACAAATTATGTCCCCTTAGTACATATATATATATATTTAAACAAGGAAGAAAAAAAAGGTCAGAAATTTGTTCAATCAAAATTTATTTATAAAAAGAGTAACAACAGTTCATACAACCAATGCAAAATCTAATCAATAACAACCACGTTGTAATATATTAAGAGAAATTTACCAGTAAATCGTGTTCAATGCTAATAATTAAAAATATATATAAGTGACGGTGCTGCCCTTGAACAACAAAAAAACGATTCTTTTCTTTTCAATATACAACATGTACAATGTGAAGCACATTTTCAAACTTTTAGAATTTCCCCTTTATTTTGAAGGAACATATGAATTGGCTTAACAGTGTAAAACTGATCTCATTTAGTCAAAAACCGAATATTTAACTTTCATTTTCGATGTAAAAATTAAGAATTGAACGAAGCTACCTTATAATAATATGACCAATACTATAAACGAAAACTCGAAGCGTTTATATTAAATTTTAGATATAGATTGAAACTTATTCAGTTTATCATGAACTCAATCCGTTGATGAACATTTTTGTGGAGTTACACAAGAGAAGGTTCCATTAATTTAGGTATTATTGGGTCGATTATCTGAATGTAATCAAATAAACATGTCAAGGTAAATAGAATTTAATGTATTCATTATCATAATACAATTTCTATTACGGTGGAAATATTATATGGCACAATTAGATTGGTATGTGTATGTTAATAATACAATCAACTCATTAAATGAGCAACCAATTGAATTTCGAAACATTTTTATTAATTTTTTCAACGCTATCAATCACTTTTTTTTCAAAATTTTATAGGGAAAATCTGGATTCAGAATATTTTTGTTTTTGTCATCTGCTTTACCAGAATAATTTTATTCATCAAATTGGGGATCAGAATATTTTTTGGAAAAAACATCAACTCAAAAACAAAATAGACATCAATGAATTCGTGTCATTCAGATGCGTAATCTAACATGTCTAAAGGAACTAAAGATGAACAAAGGCGTCCATCAAACTGTTTTTCCGTGATAACTGCTTGCTTGTTACAATGTCAACACAAACGAAATGCTAATTATATTGCTATAGAGTAATAAATAAGTTTCAGATAATGGAGGGGCCTGATGGGTTATTTTCGTTCTTCGTGATCGGCGCATTTTCGCTATCGTGATCCGTTTTTCTACAGATTTATTTTTTTTTTATATTTTCGTGATCCGTGATCATGGAAATTTATTTTCTGTGAATCGTGATTGACAAAAAAATCAACTCGTGAATCGTGATGAGACCCCCCCATCAGGCCCCTCATAATGAAGAGTATACATTTAATCCCTATGATTCTGTTGTTGTTTGTAAATTTGTGTTACAGAATGACGTAAACGTTTGATTTATATCATGTCCATATCAAAGGTATCTGATGCACTTTGCCCGATAGCGTACGTGTTTAAAAGAGGGGCAGAAGATACCTCATGAATATTCAACATCATAAGTCGATGACAAACTGACAGCGCAATGGCAAAAAATGAAAAACCGACCAAAATACAACAATAGTAAACAAAATATAATATAGAAAACTAAGACTGAACAACACGAAACCAACACAAATTCAAGACGATCCAAGGTGCACCTGAAGAGTAAGGAGATAATGCACCTCATGTGACACCAGTGGTTTTGCTCATGTAAGTACAATTTTTATTCGCAAAAACGTACAAGATTTGCAGTCTTTTTCTTAAATAAATCTATGAAAAATTCTTGAGGGTAAATACAATGTAGTTCATACGGACCTATCAAAAGTACTCGATTGTCATATCATTTAGACATATGAGTTTGAATGTCCATCTGGTATCTTTCGCCCCAATCGCAAATGTGACCTCATCTAATGCTTTGAACTTGCAACAAAAAACATGTGTTATATCTTAATACAGAACATTTCATCATTGCGCTTTTTGTTAACCATCTGCCTACTCCTATCGTACAAGCTGGAGTCAAAATCACATGTTACTTGCGAAATGTATAAAGGTGTTAATTGATGTAGTAGTGAATCAATTAAGAATATTGTATTTTTGTATATGAACTCGTTCATTATGTTTTTGTCTATATTTTTAATAGCAACATTCTCAACTAGCCACAATTTCTCAACCTATCAACACTTCTTATATATTTAATTGTCAACAGATGGCATCAGATTCAGTTTCAACCCTACGAGCTGTAGGAAACTGGTTAGTTGTCACAGGTATTGACCTTGGAACAACATATTCCGGATATGCATATTCCTTCCGGTCAGATTTTAGTATGGATCCACTAAAAATAACCTCTAATGATTGGTCTAAAGACGGAGTTCACAGACCAGAAGTGAAAGCGCCATCTGTGATTTTATTAAACAAAGATCAATCGTTCAATTCATTTGGATATAGAGCACAGAAAATATATGAAGATCTTCTAGACGAACCAGAAGAAGCTTCACAATACTATTTTATTCAAAACTTTAAAATGCAATTATATGAAAAGATGGTAAGCAAAACTATTAAGTTACTTATTATAAAATTGAGAATGGAAATGGGGAATGTGTCAAAGAGACAACAACCCGACCATAGAGCAGACTATGTTTGCTTCATCAGTTTACAATGATGATGATTTTTTTTATTATTGTTGAAAAATATGCATATGGTAAAAGCTAAGCATATATCGATATCAAGCTCAAATATAGGGTTTAAAGCCAAGGATGTTTAGCGAAGTTACTAAAATTCTACACATCTTACTGTTTGCCTCTCTTTGGACAACCAAAATTATATATTATTATAAATTTTCTATTTCTTAACATGCTTAAGTAGATATTAAGCAATGTTAATAGAACATTCATAAATGAAGAGAAGAATTTGTAATGAACCCCCCAAAAAAACGTCTTTGTACCAAAAAAAAGGTACACAAAGATTTACTTCATATGTTAATTTAATGTTTGTTCTTGTGTATTTCTTTGGCTGCAGTAGTTGAGCTTCAAAAGCGTGTGGAAATTTTTCAGTATACATACGAAAATACAGTTATCTCCATAACGCTACTGTAAACATATAAAACCAACCATCAACACCCAACTCCTCTAAGAAATACAGATGTTTAAAAAGACACACATTAAGTAAGAACACACGGCCTGGACAGACTGACTTGGTACATGTACATGCGTCATATATGGTAGGATTAAACCAGTTAAACGTGCGCAACCCCTTTCCTCTCTTCTCTTGATCAAATGTCGTTGAATATAAACACATAAAAGAAAACAACCTGTTCTGTTGGTCTATGATGACCAGAAACTAAGACAGGATAATTAAAACCGGCACAATGACATAAACCACGATCAACATTAAGGTTAAGTCTGTACAGTGCTGCTGTTTTGATGCAACGAACGACTTAAATGTAATTTCATGATTTTATCTCATAAAGTAACTGTTTGTTCAAAGCCTTCAGTATGTAGTCCAAATATTGTCGCTTGTTTCAATGTATATTTTTTTTTTCATTAACTGTTATTAACTGAAAACAGGTATCCAATTTATACTTAGGCTCTTGATTGCGTCCCACAACGTGTGGGTTTATCGTACCTGAAGAAAGTATGGTTACATCCTTATTCTTTACACTTTATATACTAATTATAACATATGGTTCACCATGGACTGCGTATTTTCCTGTTAGCCCGACAAAAACCCATTCTTTGATGTGTTTTTTAAAACTCTGGTATTAGTCTTTATCAACACGTAAACAATTTAAAGCCTTTGTAAGCCAACAAGGAATGTATGTGTATAAAAATCAGAAGCTGCGGTATGGTTCCAATTTTGTAAATTGGCGTAAAAATGAGCTACTATAGTTCATTACAAGGCCTTCATCGGTGAGCAAAACGCATACCCTATTGCAAGCTATTACCGAATATAAAAAACAAAATGATTACTAAATACAAATATCGAATTGCGTCATCAGTTTTCTGTTATCAAGAATTTTTTTTTCACGCGTTTTCAATTTTATTTTTTGTAATGTTTGTTTTTTCGGAGGGGGATTTTTTTTTTTTTTTTGGATGGTAGTGTTCTTTGGTTTATTTTGTGTGTTTGTGTGTTATTTTTTTGTTTTTTCTTCTTAGGACATAAGCTTAGAAATGACAATTGAAGATGTATATGGAAAAAAAGTTCCAGCAATTATTGTTTTCACAGAGGCTATACGATTTCTAAAGAATCACTGTCTTGGAGTATTTAATGAACGTGATTTGAAATTCACAATAAACGACATATTCTTCGTGATAACTGTACCGGCGATTTGGACAGATGCAGCAAAGCAGTTCATGAGGGAAGCGTCTGAAAGGGTAAGCATTGTTAATATATTAACCAATATGAGTTCAAGGGTAATTAAAGATAAATATCTTTTTGAATGTGGCAAGATTTTTTTATATTTTTTCTTCAGAAGAATAACAATGGAATTATAACACCTTCTCATTCTTGATATCCAAATTCATACAAAGAAAAACTGAACATTCCGTATGGTTTCTTTTTTGGTGAAAAACGTTGATGCCAATACTCTCATTTATAAAAGTTTTTTCATTGAAGGCAGGAATTGACAACTCACAGATGATATTGGCATATGAACCTGAGGCCGCCGCTTTATACTGTAGCCTACTTCCTGCAGATCAAGGCATCACAAAATTCTTTCAGGAACACCGAAAAATAATGATAGTTGATTTAGGCGGTAGGTCAAACGTTTGTAGTACATGTGTACATTACATGTTCTTTCAGGTAACATTTTATGTTGCATTTGATTAATGATAAATGATAAATTGTATTTGTTATACATACAATATTGGTTTTTGGTAACCTTTAACAGTGATTTAAAGATGTGTATCAGCCTGAAACGTTGATGGCATTTGAATAAAACCAGATGATGAATATTAGCAATTGTAGATACACATCAGCAAGTTGCGCAAATTTGATATGACCGGATTTGCCTTTTTTCTCTCTTCATTATATATATAGTAATACAATTATCTTGTGCATTAAATGGCAATTGAGTAATTTTTAAATTATATGACTTATAAGACTACAAACAAACTCTTAAACGATATTTGAATATATTCTATTTTGCCTCAATCTCAAATGTTTCGTTTTTTACAGGAGGTACTGTGGACATAACTGTTGTCAAGGTTATTAAGAAAATTGATAAACTAACGTATTTTGAGCATGTGCATAAAGTAGATGGTGGCGCATGGGGCGGTTATCATGTCAACACAAAATACGAGCGTTTTCTTGAAGATTTATTTGGAAAAGAACTTATGGAAGAATTCAAGATATCGAATATGTCAAATTATATCGAAATGATGAATGACTTCGAAGTTGAAAAGAAAAGTCTGTCTGACGAACTAAAAAAAGTCGGAGTCAAAATAAGTGGGGAACTTAGAGGTCAATATAATTTAAAACACGGTAAAGATATAAAGCAAACACTTGAAGAAAAGTTCAATGATCAAATTAAAGTTGTTGGCGACAAGTTGAAATTCGATGTGGACATTTTTAGATCGTTTTTTAAAGAATGTTTACAACATATTGTCAATCTGATCGGTAAAACGTGTGGTTTTAAGGGTTGTGAATATCCGTCCGCTATGATTCTGGTTGGAGGATTTTCTGATTCAAATGTTGTTCGTAAAGCCATAAAGGAGGCGTTTCCAGCTATTAAATCAGTAGTGTCCCCAGTTGGGGCAATCTTGTCGGTTCTGAAAGGCTCTGTTGTTTTTGGACACGAACCATCCATTGTTACCGGCCGGGTTTGTTGCAAAACCATAGGCGTAGCTCTTCACAGGCCCTATAATCCGGCAATACATGTACAAGAGAAAACATTCAAACTTGGTGGTAAAATACGCGTTGATGACTGTTTTGAAAAGATGTTTACTGTAAATGAAGTTGTGCCCCTTGGTCAGATGAAAACAATAGAGGTCCATGATTTACTTACCGATTCACAAGTGCAAAGTCGCAGAAAGCAACCTAAATCAATTGAAGTTTATGCAACACAATCAGATGATCCTAAATACATAACAGATCCAGGATGCATTCTTGTAGGACGAATCACCGTAAAGCCGCCTGGAGGTAAATGGCCGGAAGTTGTCGAAGGTTATATAGAAATGAAACCAGGTGGAACGGAGATCACTGTAAGATATCGTGACAAACAAACAGGACTTATAACCGAGGGTCAAATTGATTTTTTTTGAGAAATAATTATGCATATTGAGTTCAAAGTAACTTTACGTATAGAAAAAAACATTATTATAAGATTGGCAGTGAACCAATCATATGAATACAGTTTCGATAATTCATTACCATTATACTTTTTAAATAACATTCGCATGCATCGTTCCTTGCATTATTGTCAAATTCATCTCTATTACAGCAAATAAAGAAAATAATCATACATCATAATATTAATCCTTAAAGGAGCACTAGCTACGAGATATAAAAAAGATGTGAAGTATGATTTTTTTTTCAATCATTAATGTAAGTGAAATCGTGGATTAATAATTTGCTTTTAGCAACCAGCATGGTTCAATTTTGTCAAAAAAAGCTAAGAAACATCAATGATGAATTATTTACTTGCAAGTAAATAATTCGAGCTCATTGAATCCGTATTCATGTGACCTTCAATTTTACCTCTTAGCTAGAGATAATTTACGTCATAATTATGCGTGTTCAGTTATTAAAAGGAGCATGAATGTCAACATTGAAAGTGAAATAAAGGTAAATCATTTGATTGACTGATTCGATCCACAAAAACTCATTCTTATACAGGTAAAAACGATAATTTACATATATTTTAAACCTTTAATATGAACAGACCTATAAACATCTAACTGTACGAGTTAGCTATCTATTTATATCTATATTTATGTTTATATGGCTTATATGACCGTCGGCAATCTTTAGAGGTCAACTTGATAGTTAATTAGATGGCGTCTAGACTAAAATACACACGACACGATGATGCATATTATCGAGCCCATGCCTTCTAAATTGTTTATTTTAGACTTTTTTGGATATACGTATTAGTATGTTATAAATCTAATATGAGAATTTAAGTCAAATCGGTGAACATGAATTTGACCGCCAATGCCACTTTAAAAAGATAAATTAACGACTTTACTGGATTTACCTTCATTTGGAATACGAAAACATTTTAAAATCAAGAGCGTACAAGACCTGAAAACGTTAGGAGTTATATGACCAAAAAGAACACTAAAAGTAGAACCAGTACCATCTAACGTCAACCTTGTCCTTAAGGATGTACTTATGTGAAATTAAAAAATTCTAGAATTCAAATTTGATAATATGAGTCAGAAGAGCATTAGTTAAGGAACACAATAAGCTAAAAATATTAATAGGTTATGCAGCTCCTTTTCGAGATATTTTATATTTTTTAAAGATGGCGAGGGGAAAGACTGCCTCCGACTTATACATGTACCTTATATTTGCATTGATATTATTTTGGTCTTTAATCGAACGAAAATAAATCTAGAATTTGCTTAACTTTTAGTAAATGACCTTTTTTGAGCAAATTAGGTCTTACAATGTATATGAAAAGAAAAATGGGAGATAAAGGGCAAAATATTTTACCATGTATCGTAGGAAAAAAACCAATGGAGTCCGAACATCTTACAAAACCTCATCCTTAAGTTACTTATAGATACAGTAACAAATCATGAAAGATATCATATTTATAATTTTATACGCCAGTTACGTCTGCATTAGACTCGTCATTCGACTTTGAATCAAACCATTAGAAGGCAAAAGCATATTCGAAACTGAGGAACCTTTAAAAAAAATTCCAAAAGTTTTGCAAAACAAGCTAGTTGTTGGGGTATTATAAAACGTAGTTCTTTGGATATCCAACATTTGATCAATAGCGAGATTACAGAAAAAAAACCAAACATATCTATACTATTTCATGTCGACACTACCAGAACAGAGATACAATCGGAAACGAAACATCTATTAGCAGTATCCCCAAGGGTGACTGGGGAATAGAAGTATGGTCACCATTGGTCTTCCTCCGACCGGCGGTAAAACCCTCGTCAAAGTGGGGCGTCCGTTTGGCTGTGCGGGATGTACAAATTTGCAGCCACGTCCGGTCAGAATGGGGACGTTAAATCCGATGCCTCGTGTAAAGAGAGTGCCACGCTCTTTGCACGTTAAGAACCCTTGCAACAACTCTTTGAGGGGTCCGTAGGTGACCTGTTGCAAGGCTAAATTTCTGTCCCTATCCAATATACCCTCATTTCCCGTGGCAGTCTAAATTTCTCCTACCTTAATCCCTTAATCTATTACAGAACCTACCTATTGTATTTATTGTGAACTTGTTCTCGTCCTGAATATGCATGAAATATTTGCCACTGGACGTTAAGCAACCAACAATCAATCAATCAATCTATTAGCAGTATCAAGAATGATACTATCTACTAAAGTGTCTTTTTGTTTGATTTTTTGTTAGATTTATTTGTATGTTTGTTCCAATTTTTTAGTCAGTTGTTATGTATGTATACACAATGTTTGATTCTGAATCCCAAGTATTGTCACATCTGCTTATTATATAAAAAGAAGAATATGTGGTATGATTGCCAATGAGACAACTCAACACCAGAAACCATATGACAAAGAAGTAACAACTATAGGCGACAGTATGTTCTTCAACAATGAGCAAAACCCAAACCACATAGTTGGCTACAAAAGAACTTGAAATGACAAATGTATATCAGTTCAAAAGTGGCAGGATAAATATACAACCCGATAACAAAAAAGTCACTTAGTACATATTTGAGGGTACTCACATTTACTGACAGCTATTTCAAAACCAATACCAACTAATAAAACGTATGTCTGTTTGGGTTGCCCATAAATGTTTGTTAATATATAACGGAACTATAAAAAAAAACTGTCATATACAAGGGGGAGGTTAAGCTAGCTAAAAAAACAGGTTTGACTTAACCCATCATTTCCTTCGGAAAATACGTGTAAATATGACGGTTGTTATTTACTTGTTCCATTAATTGATAACGTATGATTTTGTCGGTTTTTATGGACCTCCGCTTCTGTGATTTACTTTTGAGTTCGATATATTTGTTGCATCCCAATTTAAATATCACATATTAGGTTTGTGCAATATAACATACTTTTTGTCAAATCACGTCCTTGAATATTACAAAATCAAAACAAAATTAGCGTTTATAAATTTGATGTTGAATATGCAAATAAAAGCATGTTGATTTTTTTTTCAGTACAACTCATGTTAAGGTATAGTTTTGACATGAAATGACTATTACTATATTTGAACTTAAGATAACATGTCTATGAATGCTTGAAGTTGCAGAATTTAACTTAGAAAGCAATGGGGCTATGAATAAGTGGTGTTATTCCAACGGCGTGTATTACTGCAAACTACCATCGTATAATGCTTGTTATCATGTAAAAAAAAACGTTAACTCTCGTTATGGACAGGGAAAAAAACAACTTACAAACTATTGGTGTTTCATTGAAACGTTTTTCAGATAGACTTGAACAACAATCATCATTTGGAAGATGAAACGACTAAATTTTTCAAACAAGATACTTAAATCATTCGTTAATTTAGTGAGGTTATAAAACTACAAAAGGTAGTCAGATATTGCAGTGTTATAACTTTAATCATACATTTATAGATTGAATAAAGGTTAAATAACGGGTATATTTCAGAATTTCCTTGAAAAGGGGGTCCGTCAAAGGGATACTCTGTCTCCTCGTCTTCTAATTCTAGTGCTTAAATTGCTCACTAGCGCTATTAAAAATTACCCTGATTTTGTTGATGTAACAATAAATGACTCTGGATTTTTATTGAGCCAATAAGCCGACGATTCTTAAAACATCTACCAAAACTGCGGTTGTTATTTACAGCCTACTGAAAAGTCCGATTCTTAAAAAGAAAATTTATAAGTGGATGAACAAGAGACTTGATTCCGTAAGAACTAACATATGTACACATATATGTATATAAATATATATTTATTAAGAAGCTCACATCACATCATAATCGTCTGGACATATTTCTGAACTTTTCTGAACAGTAGGATCTTTAACCAAAATTTTTAAAAAAATCGCGGATCTAGCTATTTATGACCAACAAAAAGCATAACCAGAATAGCCAAAAAGCATGTAACACAATTAAATGATTTGAAACCTTAGCGAGAACTAACAGTCCATCAGTAAAGGCTGCCATGGTCCAGTGTTCGGAATGTAAAACTTAGCTTTCAGTTATGTGCATTCGGCGCGCTTTTCTGGATTCAAATCATTAGGAAATAATTATTTCATTAATTGACTACCGACACAGATAGAGAATGCATATTCTGAATTATGTCAGTGTTAGTTAATGACATCATCGTTATATATCGTTATATATACAAGTAAAACCAATACTTGAAAAAAGTAACGTTTTATAAATTTGGTGTGTTTGCCTTTCTAGATTTATCTTCATATAAAATGCTTGAGTCCAAAATTTGAAACCTGGGGATGTAAAAAAACCAGAGCTAATTGACTATAAAGAACGTTGGTAAAATAGGCTAAATTATGTTTCTAATAAACTTTACATGATAATAAATGAATTATGTTTTCCCAGACTTACATAAGTATCAAGTAGTTGGATTGAGACGTACGTACATTGTGTGTGAAGCGGGTATTTGTATTCTTTTTGAACAGAAAACACACCTCAAATGATTTATTTACTGCTTGGCTTAGTGATAACTTGTTTTATCGTTCTATGAATGGAAAACAATAACAATTTTCAAATGCTACTACTGTGATGAGGATTATGATCAAGCGTATGTTATACTTAGTCACAAAGTAATAAAACACCGTGATAGCTTCTTTTCCAGAAAAATGCAGTGCTTTAAAAATACGGTTCGCTATCAAGGCACTACAATTACTAATGTATATTTTCTGAATTCAGCGAAAGACATGAATTAGATACTCGAGGTGTACATGGTGTACGCTATTGTATACACCGATTTCTTATTTCATTTCAAAGGGGCTTATTAAAGCTTATAGATAATTTTTTCATTGTTTATTATATATTCCATTCAATTCAAAATGTATTGTCAATAGGAAATAGGACAGGGGCGGATTAAGTGAATTTCTCTTAAAGGGGATTGGGTAGGTGAATGGCTGGTCCCGGACCTCTCTTAGTAAAATATTTGTGAGATATTGCATTTTACTGAATTTATTACTTCTGTCCCTTTATTTCTTAACCCTATTCTTAAATCTCCAGGTTTCGCCACTGTGATATATAGAAATCATAAATTATTATTTACTGTAAACAATATTGTAGCATGAAATGATATTGAAAAGACTATGAGTACCCTGGTCACGATTGTAAAAACAATGTTACAAATAATTCAATAATTTCTGATATATCACTTTCAGTTTATGGTAAAAGATTATAAAATTATCATTAAATTGAAAAGGGCTAAATTTGATCAATATAGTAATATCGTTTGTTTCTTTTTACGTATATATAATGTTGCCCTTCACTAAATTACAGTTACAAACTAGAAAAGGTGAATTTTTAAACCCAAACATGTCTTCTTTCTTATTCATATCTTCTTTGAAAAACCCGGACCATTTATTTAAAAACCCGGACGTTTTAAATGTTGCTCTCGGAAAACACGGACAATGTAAAACACTGAATTGTTAGTGAACTGCAAGGACATTGTGCGTAGTTTGTGGTCAAAACATGTTTAATATTCAAAATAAGATGAAATGTAATGAATAAATCTATTATTTACGCAAAATAGCAGTA